TGTCCGTGAACACCATACACTAATGTTATTTTTTTTTTTTTTTTTTTTTTTTTTTTGGTTATTTTGTATGGCTTAGCAGGTTATTTGGGGGGTCTAGGAATGCTCAAAATGTTTCCTGGATGAATGAATGATTATTACTTCTTCCCTATATGCCATTTCTGCTTATGAAAGGCTGGGAAATCTGTAACAGTATTCTGTGAACTAGATTTTTGGAAGTTTCTAGTCGAGTAATTTTTTAATTTGGAAAAAGTTGCAAAGGTACAGACTGGGTCAAGACAAAAACCCATTAAGTGCAGCCGTAGGTTCAAGTTTTGCAAACTCTGACTAAATTCCCTTTGGGGCTGCAGGCCTCCCGAATTAGCACTGTCGGTAAACCCTGCCCCGCTCCTGCTCAAGTCTCACGTCTCACAGCTTGTCCATGGCAGCGGAAGTCTCCGGTCACGTGATGAGGCAAGCACAGTGCATTTGCAGCTACCGCGGATACAAAGGGTCTTAGTTTCCTTTTCAGCCTCCCGGTGCGCATCCACCCCACCTCTGAGTTTGGGGTATGCTGCTTCGTTTCCCCCAGTTTGGGGTGTTAGGTGACCCACCTGCGTCCTCGGCCTCATCCCACACCGAGAGTTGCAAAGGCCTGGACGCCAGCCGCCTCAGGAGCGCTGCACATAAACTACCTGTCAACCCGGCGCCCACAATCAGTACCCGCGCCATGGCCCGGGTCTCGGTGGGCCGGCCTGGAGTCTGGAATGCGGCTGAATCCGAGCTGCTATACTCCGGGCTCGCGCTCCAGGCCTCGGCGGTACCCTGAGCAGTCCCTGGGACCGACCTGCAGGGGGAGCTGCTATCCAACCGGAAGACACTGTACAAAAAGTGAACGTGGGGCTGCGGAGAAACTGGGCTTTCTCTTTGTGGCCCTCCAGACAAATTCTCTTCTACAATCTGGAAGTCGTGAAGGTTTTAGAGTGAAAGCTGGCTTCACCACAGCGTGATGTTGACTTCCAGCACAGAATCAGCTACTAGGGTCAATGCTTGTCGACAGGATTGTTATCTTAATAGTCTATGTTTTAAAGCACTGTGGGACACACCAAGGATATCAGGGCATACTTCCCTCTAGGGTCTTAATCACCAATATTCACATAATAGAAAACGATTTTGAAATCGGAGAGAGATGTTTACGAACCTCAATGTTTCCTTCTGTGAAACAGAACAATTATAAATACCTAGCAATTTATTCACCAGAAAATTCTAACTCACTAATTTCTTCAAAATTAGTCAGACCACCTTCCAAATGCCTTAAGGCATACAAAAATGAGCAAGAAAAGGATTTATGCTTTTTCCTTTCTCTCCAGTCCATCCTGAACACCATTGTACATACTAATATAAATACTAAATTTTAGTGAGTTTGGCCAAATTTACACAGCAATTCCATGATAAGGAAAGGACAGGTCTTAAAGGGTTTCTTAATCTTTTCTTCTGCTCATTTTCATTCTTCTTTCTCATTTCCTTTGATCATCCCAGATGATCTTCAGTGTGAGGGTAAATAAAAAAATATTACTGCTTAAAATCCAATTCATATTCCAGTTTCGGTTACTCCAACCAAAACGTATTTAAACATATATCTGATTAGTGGATGGCTGTAGACAAGTTGTCTCAGGAATAAACTCATCTTAGTCACATTGTTGTTGTTATGTGCCGTGCAGTCGGTTCCGACTCATAGTGACCTTGTACAGAGTCTCCGAGGCTGTAAATCTTTGTTGTTGCTGTTGTTGTTAAGTGCCGTCGAGTCGGTTCCGACCCATAGCGACCCTGTACAGGGTTTCCGATGCTATAAATCTTTACGGGAGCAGAAAGCCTCATCTTTCTCCAGCGGAACAGCTGGTAGTTTCGAACTGTTGACTCTGAGATTACCAGCCTGATTCGTAACCACTACGCTAACATAAAGCCTCATCTTTCTTCTGCGGAACAGCTGGTTGTTGTTGTTGTGAAGTGCCCATAGTGGTTCTTCACATATAAGTTCCGACCCATAGCGGCCCTGTAAAGGGTTTCCGAGGAACAGCTTGTAAACTTGACCCGCCAACCTTGCAGTTCAAACGGCTTTGCAGTCTGGCGCATTAGCCCACAGCGCCACACCAGAACTAACAGCTGGTGTTGTTGTTATGTGCCGTGGAGTCAGTTCCGACTCATAGTGACCCTGTACAGCTGGTAGTTTAGAACTGCTGACCTTGTGGTTCACAGCCAAATTCGTAACCACTACGCTGCCAGAGCTGGGTGCCTTAAAAAAAAAAAAAAAAAAAAAAAAAAAAAAGAACTTTCTGTGCTACGGGAAAAAAAAAAAAGATTTTGAGGTCAGGGCTAATACCTAAGTGTTTCCACAGCTCAAGTGAACATTTTCACAAATCACAAGCTTTGCAACAAATTTATGTGAATGCTGCTGCATATAAAGCAATAGTTTTTTAGATGGATCAAGAGTTTTAAGGAAAATTGGAAAGACCTCAAAGATTAGCCAACAGAAGGCAGACCATCAATCTCCAGCACAGGAAGAAACTATGACCAAAGTCCAAAAACTGGTAGAAGAAAATCAGAGAATTGCCCTCCATGTGACAGCTACAGAAGTTGGGATTTCACATAGTTTGGCATTTTCAATTTTAAGCAGACACTGTGAGACCTCAGCAAGCTTTCATCTTGTAACAAAAAGCATTATGTAAAGAGTAGCTAGCTCAAAGAGTTAGTCTTTCCATAAAGCTTTTCAGCAAGATCTAAGCTAATGAAGATAATGTTATGGAACAAATCATAATCAAGGACAAATCTTAGACTTACTAATACAACCCAAAGAGTAAGTTTTAATTAAAACAGTAGCTTTGAAGAGATCTACTGGGTCAATTGTTGTTGTTGTTGTTGTTGTTGTTGTTATGTGTCGTGGAGTCAGTTCTGACTCACAGCAGCCCTGTACAGGGTTTCTGAGGCTGTAAATCTTTACAGGAGCAGAAAGCCTCATCTTTCTCCCGCGGAACAGCTAGTAGTTTCGAACTGCTGACCTTGCGGTTCGCAGCCAGATTGATAACCACTACGCTACCAGAGCTCCTTTACTAGTTTAAGGAAAAGAGGTTCATTCGGCTCAGAAGGCTTTGGTGACATAGTTTCAGATACCAAAGGGATAATCTTGATGTGTTTCCTCAATGGACAAAGGATTACCTTGGGGGCTTATTATGAAAAAGCTTAAAGAAATTTGAAGACTGAATTTCCAGGAAAGTTGTGCCAAGGAATTTTTTCCTGTTGCAACAATGTACTTGCTCATTCTTCAAGAGTAACAAGGACTGTCCTATGAGAATTTCATTGGGAAATCTTTCCCCATCTTCTCCTTCAGACTTCAGTTTGTTCCCCAAGTTCAAAGGAGATTTAAAATGAACTACTTGAATCCCTAAGAAGCCCTAGTGGGTTGGTGGATTATGATGTGCACTGCCAACGACAAGGTCAATAGTTTGAATATACCAGTCATTCTGTTGGAAAAAAAAAGGTCAATAGTTTGAATATACCAGTCATTCTGTTGGAAAAAAAAAAAAAGAGGCTTTCTGCTCTCGTAAAGATTTATAGCCTGGAAACCCTATACAGAATCACTAGGTGTTGGAACCGACTTGGAGGCACACAACCACCACCACCATTTGAGTCCCTGGAGGATTCCAAAACTCCTGATTAGGCATGGTATAAATTAAAGATTGTAGAATTATTTATCTAAGGGTCAAAGAGAAGGAAACACTGCATTCAAAAATTTTTAGATCTGTTATTGTTGTTAGGTATCATAGAATCAGTTCCTACTGATAGGGGCCTGAACATTGCCTAGTTCTGTGCCATCCTCACAATCAATCCTTTGTTTGAGCTCATATTTGTAGCCACTGTGCCAATCCATCCCATTGAGGGTCTTTCTCATTTTTGCTAACCCTGTACCAAGCATCATGTCATTCTCCAAGGACTGGTCCCTCCTGATTACATGTCCAAAGTATGAGAGAGGAAGTCTCGCCATACCTTGATTCTAGAGAGTGTTCTAGCTATACTTCCAAGACGAATTTGTTTCTTTCTCTGGCAGTCCATTGTACTTTCAATTGTTGTTGTTTGTTGTTAAGTGCCATCGAGTCAGTTCTGATCCATAGCAACCCTGTATAGGGTTTCCGAGGAGTGACTGGTGAGCTTGAACTGCTGACCTTGCGGTTCAAACTGACTTTGCAGTCCAGTGCATTAACCCACAGTGCCACACCAGGACTCCAAAATATACTTTCAATATTCATTTCAATTCCATCATTCAAAGGCATCTATGCTTCTCCAGTTTTCCTTATTCGTTGTACAGCTTTCCCATGAATATGAGGTAGTTGGAATGTAAAAATTATAAAACAATATCACTAAAGCAAAGACTGAAGTTGAAGAGTAAAGATGCTACTTTTAGGACTAAGCTCTACCTGACCCCAAGTCACGGTATATTCAATCACCTCAGTCATGTGAAAGCCGGACAATGAATAAAGAAACCTGGAGAAAAACGGATGCATTTGAATTGCAGTATTGGCAAAGAATATTGAAAGTACCATGGACTACAGAAGAACAAGTAAATCTGTACAACCAGAAAGCTCCTTAGAAGTAAGGATGGTGAGACCTCATCTCATGTGCTTTGGAAATGTTATCATAAGGGACCAACCTTGGAAAAGGGCCTTCTGCTTGGTAAAGTAGAGGGCCAACAAAAAAGAAGACTCCCAAGGAGTTGGATTGACAATGTGGCTGCAACAATGGGCTCAAACAGCGATCGTGAGGATGGCATAGGATTGGGCATTGTTTTGTTCTGATGTACATGAGATTACTATGAGTCTGCGCTAACTCAATGGCATCAAAGAACATGTCCTGTTCTGAATCTAACTTGACTTTATGGCCGTTTCCTATCAATACACTGCCATAATCGTTTTTAAATTACCTTCTGCAAAATTCTACTCAAGTGTGATATCAATAATTTTCACATTCTGTTGGAACATATTTCTTTGGAATGGCATGAATATAGATCTCTTCTAGTCAGATGGCAAGTAACTATCTTCCAAATTTCTTGACATAGATGAGTGAACACCTTTAAAGATGCATCCTTTTGTTGAAACAGTTCTATTGGTATTCAGTCAATTCTTGTATCCTTATTTTTTGCTAATGTCTCCAATGCAGCTTGGACTTCTTTCTTAAATAAACTTGGTTCTTCTAGATCATATGTTTCCTCAGGAAATGATTGACAGTCAACCAATTCTTTTGGGTAAAGTAACTCTGTGTATTCCTTTCATCTTCTTTTGATGCTTTCTGCATAGTTGAAGATTTTTAAATCCTTCAATATTATATAACACAAAGCTTGACTTTATTTCTTCAGTACATTCAGCTTGAGAAATGCTGAGGGTGTTTTACCCTTTTGGTTCTCTAACTCCTGGTCTTAGCATTTTCATGATAATACTTTGCTTTCCTGAGATCAATTTGACTACTTTCTTCATAATTTCTTTCATTTGCTTTAGCTTCTCTATATTCTAGAGCCAATTTCAGAGTCTTCTGACATCCATTTTCATCTTTTCTTGTCTTTTTAATGGTTTCTTCATGTATGAGATTCTTGGTGTCATACCACAACTGGTTTGGTCCTTAGGTGTTAGTGTTCAGTGCATCAAATCTATTCTTGAGATGGTTTTTAAATTCAGGTGCGATACACT